TCATCTTTTGCAAATGTGGAAGGTAACTCTACAGAAGTGCCTGATCATTTAAATGAAGATAATGTTATACAGTTAAAGGATCGTTCATCAGATGTTGACAAAACGGCTAGAATAGGTAACTATAAATAAAATATATTATTTATAAAACAAAATGAAATAAATATTACTTATAATTACAAATACTGAGATAAATTAATATTAATATTTACAAGGAAACATTACTTTTTGTCCCATTTGGATTTTAATCTAAACTTGGTACCAATGTTTATCATCATCAAAAATGGAAACATGAAAAAAATTTCGTCGCAAATGCCATAGGTTAAGGAGGTACAGTATGCGGAAGTTTTGCATAAAAAAATAATGAAAATAACGCATAAAATGTGACTTTGTACAATATTTTATTATAAAAAAGATAACAATTATGTACAAATATTAAGCTTGACTATTGAAACAAAATACATGTGTGCAATAAGCACAGCGGAAAAAACTAATATTAGTATAATTTTCAATATTACAAGTATCTAATTCGAATGTGAAACAATATTCTAGTGGTGTTATATTATAAAATGATCTAAATGAGAAGATAGAAAGTCTAATTTTGAAAAAGCATGCTTTATATTTTCTCATTTAGATCATTTAGACATCGAATTCTTATGCAATTATTAGTATCTTTAGAAGGCAGATTAAAAAGTAACATTGAAATAAAAATTTGTCTTATTAAAAAAGCATTCTAAAAATATATATTTATTTGAATATATTATGCATATTTGTATATTTGTGCAAATTTTGTGCATGTTTGTACAAATATCTGTATAAAAATCTGATGTCTAAGATCATTATATAACATCACTAGAATATTGTTTTACATTTGAATTAGATACTTGTAATACTGAAAATTGTACCAATATTAGTTTTTTCCACTGAGCTTATTGCATTCTATTTTGGCCATTCTATTTTGACCATTCAATAGTCAATCTTCATATTTATACTTAATTGTTATCTTTTTTTAATAATAGAATGTTACACAAAGTCACATTTGTTATTCTCATTATTTTTCATGCAAAAACTTTCGCGCTCTGTATCTCCTTAACCCATGGGATTTCCAACGAAATGTTTTACATGTTTCCATATTTGATGGAAATATAAACATTGGTGTCAAGTTTTATTAAACTTCGAGTGGAACAAAAAGTAATATTTCCCTATAAGTCTAAATGTAGCACGCACTACATAAATATGTATTTGTTTTTTTAAATAGCATTGTTTTAATCAGGGTTGGCATGTAACGCGTTACTTGTAACATCATTACCGTTACAAGTTACTTTTTTCGGTAACGAATGAATAATGATGTTTACATTTTCTTCTGAGTAACGTTTATGGAAACGCAGTTACATTTTGAGGGTAATGGTAATGATTTTACTTTTATTGTTACTTTTATTGTTACTTTATTTCTAGTCACGTAAAAGTTTTAGTCCTAATTAGATCGTGTATGTGTGTGTGTGCGTGTGCGTGTGTGTGTGTGTGTGTGATACAGGGAGGGGCATTTAAAACAGGTCACTTGAATAACTCGCTTGTTTTTAACAATAGAAGAAAAAGTGTCAAACAAAAGTTGCTTGGTTTCGGGGGACACATAATGTGATATCAATAATTGTTTTGTAGGTCGAGTAAAGGATAGACAAAGGTCAAATCTGTTTTTTTTAAATGGAATGTTATGTTTTTTTATTTACATTCTGATAGAGCATTTTAAGACGAATACAATGACTTATAATTGAAGATCATTTAAGGTTACGTAAGATTAATAATGGAAAATAATTGAATGTAATGGAAAATAAATTGTTTTTAAGCACTCTTCGAATAATTTCGTGTCTTTTCTTCTTGTTGGTATTCCGCTAATTGTTCAAGTGTATCACGGTATGTAAATAAACAACTGAAGGTTTATTTAAACATAACAAGGTTAGCTGTAATCGAAAATAAATTGTATGAAGGCATTTTTCGAAGATTTCATTAATTTACTTATTTGCGTACTTATCGTTATAACAAATGTTCAAAATAATGACCCTAAACATCGACGCATTTTCTGAAATGTGTCGACACAAATAACATGACAAATTTCATTCGGATCAATCGCAATGCAAGCTCTTCTTATACGCTCCTTCATGTCTTCTCTGTTATCGGTATTTCGCTGTACACTTGTTATTTTAACTTTCCCTACAAATAGAAATCCATAGGAATTAAATCTGGGGAACGCGCGGCCCATCTGTTATTTCCTGACCAATCAATCCAACGATCTCCAAGTTTTTTGTTTAGCAATTCATTAATAATTCGTGCAGAATGAGCAGGACATCCATCTTGCTGTACCACATTGATTGACCAAGGTCTATAAACGTCCACTTCTCTCATCCAATGTGGGTTTTCTATTGACCAATAGTGCATGTTGCGAAGATTTACTTGTCTATTGTTTGTAAATGTAGCTTCGTCAGTAAATAAGATTTTAGTGATATCTTCTTATAGTCTTTGTAGTGCACATTCACAGAATTGTATACGATTTTGAAAATCATTGCCATGTAACTCTTGATGAAGTGAGATATGACAGGGGTGAAATTTGTTGGAATGGAATATTCACAGAACACTTCATCGACTAATACCACTTTCACATTCAAGCTATTTTGTACTGATATGTGGATTTAGCGCTATAGCGACTAAAATGTTTGTTGAATTTCCATCGTCAGTTGCTTTCTTAATTCGTTTGCGTTTTTTATTATCCACACTTCCTGTTTCTTGAAAAGTTTGTACTATGTTTGAAAAAACAGAATGAAGGATGTACACGATCGGGAAATCTTTCAGCACAAACGTACTGCTCTCATAATTTGGCGACATTCACCACAGACGAAAATCATATCGACTTTTTCCACTTTCGTATAACGCATTGAACAAGACACGCACTTTGATCGATAGATAGAATTCAACTGATCAGTAAATATGGATAATGCTATGTGCGATTCAATTTAAACGATATGTAAATATTTACATACACTTGATTAGCGGTATACCAACAAGAAGAGAAGAGACGAAATTATTCGAAGAGTGCCTTGAAACAATTTATTTTCCATTACATTTAATTATTTTTTATTATTGACCTTGTGCATAATCTTGAATCATCTTCAATTATAGATTATTGTATTCGTCTTAAAATTCTCTAACAGAATGTAAGTAAAAAAACTTATCATTTCATTTAAAAAAACAGATTTGACCTTTGCCTATCCTTTATGCCTCCACCTACAAAACAATTATTGACATCACATTATGTACCTCTCGAAACCAAGCAACTTTTATTTGGCACTTTTTCTTCTATTATTAAAAACAAGCGAGTTATTCAGGTAATCTGTTTTAAATATCCTTGTCTGTATATATACATACATTTATCAGTTGAGTTTTATTTCTCTATTAAAAGATAGAATCCTGACTTCTCTTCAGAATATTCACTGCCAAAATCTACATATAATAGTATTTTTTATTGGCAGAACTAGTATGCACTTAATGCAGTTTAAAGTCGTTGTACACAAATTGACGTAAAGATGTATGTTTAATAAAAATATAAAAACGAGTTTAAATCCCCGATATATTTTATTATGCTATTTGGTAAAATATACTTTGGACATTTTATTAATTGAGATATCTCATTTTTACATTCAGATTAAAATAGTGTACAACGGCTTTAATGTGCACTGAGTTCTGCCATAAAAAACGCTGTAATATTCTATTAGTATCAAGAAAAAAATTAACGATTTATTATACTTTAAATGCCATTAACGGTAACAAATTACTTTTGGAAATCAATAACGAGTAACGATACCGAATTATTTTTTAGGAAAAAGAACGATAACGATAATGACGAGTTATTTTTATGAGGTAACGTTGCCAACCCTGGTTTTAATATAAAATGTTTTTTAATATAAATATACAAGATATATATTTATATATAAATAAAAGTAAAATTTTTTACTAATGCAATTTTTTGTTATATTTCTAGAAGATGGATATATTGTAGAATATTCATTGGAATATGGTTTCTTACGATTATCACCAGCCGCTCGACAAAGACTAAACATTCCAGTCAAAATTGTCACTTTAGATCCATTAAACGACAAATGTTTTGGTGATGCATTTTCACGGTTAATATTAGATGAATTTTTGGGATATGACGATTTGTTGATGGCAAGTATCAAGACACTAGCAGAACATGAAGACAACAAAGGATTTTTACGGTAAGTATAACTTTCATGTTGAACAACGATGGTTATTCAATGATAAAGATGTATTAAAACGTATTAGAAGTTTGCAGAGATTGAGATGAAAAACAATTTTTTAATATTTTGATCGCTTTGATAGGAACGTCGTGACGGGAGAACATTATCGATTTGTGAGCATGTGGATGGCACGAACATCATACTTAGCTGCATTTTTCGTTATGCTCGTATTTGTAAGTATTTTATGAATTTTATGGTTGGGTTATTGATCGATTGTATATATGTTTATAGAATTTGACATATATTTATACATATTTACATAAGATTATATTTGAACAAAATGCAAAAAATTGTCCAATCTACAGTAAATGGTTATTTAGAATTTGGAATCCTAATTTTTTTCATATATTTTTGTTCTAGTTGAATTTATCATTAGATGGGCTACATTATGTATATATATGTATATATACACACATGTATATTAGGTGTAGTAAAAAGTCATCGCGTATTTTTTAGCTCAAAGTTGTACATACAATATCTTCGTCAATAATGAATGAAATTCAAATTTAAAAAAAGGGTTTTAAAGCTTGAAATCTCTACTTTTAAAAGCTTATCACATTTTTTAAGTTTATATGAGTTTGATAATTTTTACATACCAAAAACTACGAGCTGAAAAAGACGAAAAATTTTCTTCTCACTTTGTGGATTTGTAACGTGTCCAAAACGAATTTGAGAAAATTTTCGATTACATATCGTGAAAGCTTGATACTTTCCCTACAAAATCGTTTTTTTTTAATATTCCTACGACTTTTGATTACTGAGTTATCGCGGATTAAATAAAAGAATTATTTTGACTTTAATTGCTCATAACTCCATTAAAAATTGTCGTATCGTATAATTTAAAAAAGAGATTTTTAAAGCTGAAACTTTACTCTATCAAGATATATTTATATTGTTGATAAGAAAGTAATTGCGGTTTTTACTGATAGATGTCTTTTAAAAATACGCGATGACTTTTTACTACACCTAATATATACATACATGTACGTATATACAAATATATGTATGCACATGCATAAGTTACAAAGTTATTAATTTGCAAATAAAAGTTATTTTATTTACCATTTATGTTTGTTAGTATAAATACTATAAATCTAAGTTTTTTAATACAATACAATAAATTTTCTTTTTGTATAAAATTAATGATTTTATATATATATA